ATATATATATATATATATACACACACTTCTGGAGTCAAACTTTGGAGTCAAAATATCTGCCACACATAACTAGTTTTAGCAATCACAAAAATGTATGTAACTCCATCAACTTTGACTTGGAAATGTAATGTGGTGGTAGCTGAGAGTCATCATGAACGCATGCTCTGAGCTCCACAAGATCTTTGTCAACGCTGTTCGTCTGTTAGGAAAATATCCTCTCAACCAGTGGACAGATCTTGTGGACCGTGGAAAACACAAAAATGCCATTAACAGTTGTTTTAATAATTATGATGAGSTAGTAGCTGAGAGTCTTGCTCAACATTCACACTCTGAGGTTACACAAAATGTTAATATGCTTGAGATTGTGTGTTCTGTTATTTTCAGGACAGCTCTGTCATGACTCAGCATGAACTGATCTCAGTCTGAAACTCTGGCCACAAAAGATCGAAGTTGTTAATATTGACGTCTGCTTCTCAAAACTTTACAGCTAAATTTAAATGAATTGTTTCCAGATGGAACGTGAACTCAATTAGAAGAGACAAACTTTTGGAGCTGATCTGGTTTCTGGTCTTGATCGAGCGTTTTGCAGAGGGATGGTGTTATTCTTTGACTCAGCTGGTGTGATTTCCTCTTCCAAAACACCAAACAGGACGGTGTTTTTGTTTGTCYTGACCTTCGGAGAGTTCTGAGTGTTCTTCTTGTTTTTGAAAAACACACGAATGCTTTGTCTCTGACTCGTATCTGTAATCTCCTAACTTAGAATGACGACAGCTCCAGAGCCTCCTGTAGAGCCCCCCACTAATGGACCCTAAATCTTTGACTTGCCAAAAATGTCACCCACGTGGTCCGGGCCCCTCAGCTTGGAAACTCCCTGTTTGATGAGGTCAGACCAACAAGCTCAGCAAATTTTCTTCGATTTGTCGACCTATTGATYGGTGTTTTTGGAGCTCTTGAGCTTCATACACATTTTGTACAGTTTTATTTGGCTTAGTTTTCTTTCCTAATTTATACCAACATGTTTGGTGAAATTCCAAGTGAAAATCTGCTATTTTCTCACGTTATGTCTCCAACAACTGCACCACTAGGGTTTGGGCATCATTTAGTTTTGAACAATTCTGGTTCCTAACAGTTCCCAATTCCAATTCWATTTAGAGGCAGGGTCAAAAATGTTTACATGCTTCAAATGAGGTAACTGACCAGAGTTTTTCCAAGATTAAATAGACTTTTCTTCTCTCAGAGCTTTTTACTTTGTATGAACTTCCCTAAGAATTCCTCACAGGACTATTATCAACCACTTAGCACAGGGGTACTCTGAATAGTCTTACACTGGCAGATTTCTTTTTGTTTCAGAAGTAACAGTGGAATGAGACAATTGCACTTGGTAGGATTTCTTGAAATAAGGAAAAATTTCAGGCTAACAAGATTAATAATCTAACATACACTCTTGTTTATATCAGTCTCAAAACAAGATCAAAACTACGTTTTGGTTGGATGTGAGATTGTAAGACAGGTTTTGAGGTGTAAACTTTCACAAGAAATTTGTATACAAACCTCAAAGAAACACAAATCCAGTGTGTGATGCTGCRGGTATTTAAACAGGTTACTGACCACGGCCCATATTTATCAAACTTCTTAGAGTGGATTTTTAGACTTAAGTGCTGAAAATGTCTTAGATTTGCTCCTACTCGTRAGTGCCAATTATCAAAATTCTTAAGTCTGAGAAGTTAAGACGGCTCCAGAGGACTCTTAAGTGGTCAAGAGTTGCCACGAGGGGTCTGAGATGGGCTGAGAAGACAGAAATCACAGCTCTGTCCTCCTCAAGAGTACTCTACACCACCTCAGAAACTGCACAAAGTGGTCCGGGGGGTCTCCCACCTGAGTGTTATTCTCAGTTATAATGTACAGAGTAACTGAAATAAGATGTGGGAARCAAGTTATCAATACAAAAGAAAGAAGGGGACAAAGTTGTCATAATGTTGAACTAAAAAGTAGATATTTCTGTGCGGCTTTATGGAGACAATATTAAACTATAAACTGGTGAGTGAAAGCAGATGACATGATAYTGGTGAAGGTGGGATTGAACTTTTCTTTTATTATGTTTTCTTTCTTTAACTCAAACTTCACAAAATCTGTTAATTTCATGAAATAAGATAAAATAGAATAAATCTAGAGCAAGGGGGGTTCACAGAGCAACCAGATAATGACAGTGGTGTGTGTGTGTGTGTGTGTGTGTGTGTGTGTGTGTGTG